GCTGCGAACATGGCCGGTCAAGCATCCGCTTTCCGGTCCGATAAGGGCCATTCACAGTGACATCACCACCATCACCCCCCCCCGCTCACATCTGGTGCACACGCACTTGAGTAGGATTTATAGACGGCGGCAACGCGAGTGTTGCTCTAAACGCCTTCCTCTCCACCTCAATTGATTGCTGACTCGCGACTGGAAGTACATTTCGTCGTTCCGACCGACTGGACAGACCCATCAAGCTTGCCCGGATACTATATCACGCGCTACAATGGGTAGCTTCACACCCAAGCAGTCTCTGACTGTGCTCGACAATCGCACTGGAAATGTGAGTGCACAATGTCTCGGCCCTTGCTTCCCCTGGCAGGTGCAGCCAAGAGGCTCCTCGCGGCGCATCACCAAGCGTTTGCTGGACTCTGGTGGCTCATACCGAATCAATCTCACACCGGCGCTGATCATCTTCAACGCCGCTCGCTCAGTCTTACGAAGTGCCAATCAAGAACAATGCCATTCAAGCCACAGCTTTCACTCAAATGAAGGCGACGCCTCAGGCAGTGTTTGGGGCTCAAGACAGGCCAGAGGACGAGACAGAGAAGGGCATTCGGGTGTCGGATAGCGCATACGCCAACACTGCGGCCGTCACCAGCAGCATCACCTTCATCGATGGTGGACGAGGCATCCTGAGGTATCGCGGATATCCCATCGAGCAGTTGGCGAGAAAGAGTCACTTCTTGGAGAGCGCATATCTGCTCATCTACGGAGAGCTTCCTACCGCACAGCGATACGATGCGTGGAGCAACGAAGTGGTGAGTGACAAGGAGAGGCGCAGCTTGCGGATTGCTCAGGAAGGCAATCGCGCCACTTAGAAGGGAGCGATATCGATGATACGTCTGGCATCCTGACGGTCTCCACGTGCGTCGTCATGCCTTCAGCTGCACCACACCTACCTGCATCATGATGTGGTGAGTGAGAGGATGGCTTGGAGACGCGTCAAGCATCGTTGCTCATCTTGTTCGCGCGCATTTTCCAGGAGCACGTCATGAGCAGCTTCCGCTACGACTCCCATCCGATGGCCATGCTCATCAGCGGTGAGGCGAGCCTGTTCCTGTATCTGGCCAGATCAGCGCACACTCATGCGCGCGTCGCCCCTGTCGACAGGTTTTGCGGCGCTTGGCGCTTTCGCACCCGAGGCGAACCCTTCTTTGCAGGGTCAAAATTTGTACTCGAGTGCTGCCAAGGGCAACGTGGATGCCTTGGCTCAAGTGAGTACGTCGACGAGTGCACGCCTGAGGAGTCCAGTCTCACAAAACGACTCCTCCTCACCATGACTAGATGGACAAGCAGATCATGCGCCTGATTGGAAAGGCGCCTACGCTCGCCGCGGCCACGTACCGCAACCGTCAAGGCAGACCCTTCAACCGCCCTCCCACCGGGCTGTCCTACTCTGGAACCTTCTTGTACTGTCTGGACCAACTGAGCGAACACCAGTACAAGCCCAATGCCGTGCTGGAGAGAGCGCTCGACATTCTCTTCCTGCTCCACGCAGATCACGAGATGAATTGCAGCACCGCTACGATGGTCCATGTCGGCAGCAGTCTTGTCGATCCTTACTCCGCTGTCGCCGCTTCTTGTGCCGCTCTGTACGGACCTCTGCATGGTGGTGCCTCCGAAGCCGTTGTACGTCAGCTCATAGATATCAATGGGCCGGGTGAGTTTCTTAGCAGATGAGCAACGCATGGCCTGGGGCGCCCACCTCACCGAGACATGTCTTCTCGTCTTGCTGCGCAGAGAACGTACCCAAGTTCATCGAGCAAGTCAAACGCAAGGAACGCAACTTGGCGGGCTTCGGTCATCGCGTCTATCGCACTACCGATCCTCGATCGACCATCATCAGAGAAGTTGCTGAGCAAGTCTTCTCGGTCACGGGCCGTTCCAAGCTGCTCGACACTGCATTGGCTTTGAGAGACGCTGCGGAGAAGGATGACTACTTCAAATCGCGCAACCTTCACGCCAACGTCGACTTCTTCTCGGGCATCATTTACCAGCAGGTGAGCTGCAGTGCCATCAAGCGTCCGTGACACCGCATCACTGTGCTCAACAGCCAGAATCTGCTTCCCTTTCCCAGATGGGCTTCCCGCTCGATTTCTATCCTGTCCTCTTCGCAGTTCCGCGAGTGGTGGGTTGGCTTGCGCACTGGCGTCAAGCCATGCTCTCACCAAGCCAAAGAATTTGGCGCCCCAAGCAGATCTACATCGGAGCGAGCGAGCGCGACTATGTGGACGTGAAGCAACGTGAAGAGGCGAGGGAGCCCAAGTATGGAAGCGGACCCGTCTCTGTTGCGCACGGCGGCGACTCAAAGAGGCGTCATTTGGCCACTTACCTCGATGAGACTGGCAAGCTCCACGCTCGCAGCAAGTTGTAAAAGTACTCTCGAATCACCGTTGCGCGCTTGTACTTTCTGTCTTTCTCACCATTCAAGCCCATTTCAGTGCGTGCGTGGACATTTCCCTAGTCTCTGCGCTTCTTCTTTGAACTTTTGTCTGCTCGTCCGTCCGAATCTCGTTCGCCGCAATGGTTGCGTCCGTGCTCCCTGTCACCACCCCACCCAGCACTTGATGATGTCTGCAGACCGAGCAACAGACCTCTTCAACCTTCTCGCCCTACGCTGAAACGCATCAGCGCCATGCAGGGAGCAACTACACCATGTGCATCGATCAGCTCCTTCCCTCTGCAGCTGGGCACTAGCTGAAGCGCATCGAAGGTGGAGGAGGGAGATGCGCGGAATCGACGGCACATGCTGCAACTCCGCATCGATTCTCTTTCACGCGGCGCGCGGGGCTGGGTGGCAGCACGCGCAGCAGCCACGAGTGTTCCACACTAGCTCTTGAAGTGCCGCG